ACAAGGTGAGGACAAATACTGCTGGTTTATTTATTAACTTTTATATCTTGTTTATTTTAAACTTAGTACTGACGAAATATATAATCAAAGAAGTACAATTGAGATATTAACGTGAAAAATATAGAATAACTAGTGATGGCAAAAATAGAAGGCTGTCTACACTGTAAACAAAATCACTCAAATTCACCCAGTTTTACTCTAGTGAAATATTAGGCATATACAGGGTGTTTCAAAGTTCTTTTCTCCAAGAACGTATTGTTAACAAGTTGACACCAAATGACTTTGATATTTAAGTAATTTTTATATAACGCAAAAGATGATTTGAAACAAAATAAACACGTTCAACTCTTCTGTTTACGTGTCCTACTCACGATGTTGGTAAAAATTCATTTTATCCACAACTGTGTGATAAAAGCTCTATTGCACGCATCTAATCTAGCCATGCAATATCATCTGTATCATGCTGTGAGGAATAGTGAAACAAATAAACAGAACTCTCACGTAATAAATGATCGGACCTAAGTATTTCACATTTGTTTTGTTTGTGACGAAATTCGTTCGATCAGTTAACCAATTCTTATAATCGAGACCTAAAATATTGTCTCTAAACAGCTTAGTAGTTTATGACTTTAATACAGTGATATTTAAATTAAAATTTAAAGAGAATATAAACCCAGCCCGAGTAAAAAATTACTCTATAATAGTTAAATTTAGAGAAAAAGTCAACTCTTAATTGGTTGGACTCAGAATCGAGTCAAAAGTCACTCACTTGATAGTTAGCAGAAACTCGGATTCACTCACTTCTGTTGCAGAAATAAAATAACTCATAAAATTTTAGTTGTGCTCGTACTAATAGAGTGAAAATTTCACTCAATCAGGTGTGGACAAAAATTGATTGAATTATTGGGGTAAAATTGAGTGAAACTGAGTAATTCTTTTTACAGTGCAGTCATATTGAAATTTTCCCTTAATAAAAGCTTGTTACTGATTAGGCAAACTATGTTAGAATGTACCAATCGGAATGTTCGTCTACGGCGAATGTCAGCAAAATACTACAGGGGCATCACGTCGTTCAAACAAAAATTTAAATTAACAGTTAATTCTGATTGTATTCAAATCTTGTTTGGAACGAAACATTCCACCAATTCTTATTATTTTTGGCTTTAGTACTTGAACCTCGGAAAGAAAATAACACCACCGGCGTTTCTCTCATCATCCCCGCCCTGCGGGTAATTCAATAGGATCCCGCGTCTACCAACATCCGATTTAATGACTTTACAGAACCCAAAACAAAATAGACCGTTCCTTAATGAACTGTTTTTATTTCTCGCAGCGAACCGGGGGCACATAAGTAAACACGAGATAAAGGAGTCGGGCTTAACAAGACAAGGAAGACGGAATCGATAAGTGTAAATTTGTCGAATTTGTTTTTGTTTGTTCGGAAGTGGCGCTGATTTGATTGGAGGACGGCTTCTTCTTCTTCTTCCGAAGACGCCTCGTTACCCGTGACGTCTATTTACCGGCAAATACACTTCGACGCGCTCGAGAAGTACTCGATAAGTAATAGAGTTCGGATTTGTTCTGTTGAATGACAGAACAGGGCCGGATCAACCAATATTGTAGCGGAACTACGGTTAAAGCATATAAAATTCGGAAGATCGAAACAATTAAAAAAATTTTTTTCTATATTTCCAAATTTGTTTCTTACAACTGTGAAATTTCGTTGTTTTAATAATTACTATATCTTTTTAAGATAACTTAAGTCGCATTTCAAAAAACTGCTGAAGAAATTTAATGAGTTTTCCTAAAAAAATTAAAAACTTTAAGAAAACAAAATAATATTAAACCCTAAATGTAAATTGTATGGCCCTTTCACGTCCGGGCACCCTGTATTTGAACGGATTACCTACTGTTAAGCGTCTCGACTAATGTAAGGAATTTTTTATGAGAGCCAAGTGGCCGCGGCGTAGATCCAAATTGGTCGTGGAAAGTGCAACAAGTCGCGCTTCTCGATTGTTCAGCGGGGCTCGTAAAAACGGGACTAAAAATTATTCATAAACGGCGAAATCATTCCGCGCGCTTCGCTAATAATAAAGTCGCTCATAAAACCTGAAAAACCGAAAACGTTTTATATCCGCCACTCTTAAATCTTTCGCAAACATTCGATAACTTTTAAGCCTTTTTTTGTTTCGGGAATCCGAAAGATAAACGAAACAAATGGCGGACTGGCGCATATCAAAAATCCATATTTGTTTTTTAAAGTAAATTGAGTCCCTATATTGAAAAAGTATTTCGTTGTTAGGTTAGTTTAATGTTCAATAGCTGTGATGTACAAGTGTAACATTGGCAACTTTTCCCCTCAAGAATATTGTGGCAAATGAAATTAATCCTTTGTCATTTTTGCCAGACACGTTATTTGTAGACATCTTACATTTCGTATTTGCCATAATCGAATAAACACCCTGTACAAGCTAGTAAATAATTATCACAAAACTTCAAAGAAATCACCTCCTAGTTCCTAGTTACGGCCGACCACTTGGAACAAAGGTCAACAGGAAACCCAGCCACGATAAATTAATTAATATGTTTCCGCATCTCAAAGAGACACTCGTGCAATTCTATTCAGCGTAACTTTGGCTGCATACCTGCATTAAATCCAGAAAACAGATTAATCATTTCATACCACCGACGTTCTGCTAGCTGGAAATCAGGCCGTCCGCCTCCGGCTTCGTGAAACGTGTTTAACGTAGACGGAATTAAACGAAAAACTTCCAACTTCGTGCTCGGCTTATTTGCATACAGGATTAAAAAGACGTTTCAAGTTTTGGCGCATCCCCCAGGTGAGCGGGATTCCCTCCCGTCCTGGGAAATCATTTAATTTCACCTTAAATAAAGAATTCTGTTTGCGAGATTTCGCTCCGAAGGTGCCCCGAGAAGTTCTCGGGCCCGTGTAACTGTTGATATCAATCCCTGTCAAAGCAGGAACAGCACGGCTCGAATTAAAATTTATGTGGTCGTCATCCCCGAAGTTAGGGCCAGACCGCTCTGTTAAAAATTCCATGCTATTCCTAACTGCAAGTGCTGTTTGCGTGTAGAGGACAATAGCAAGGGCTCTTTCTCTGAAAATCTAGACGATCTTGTTACGGCTTTCAAAAATGAACGCATAAATAAGCGTTTAATTGGTATGCGTAAATAAATCACCCTATAGAAGCCCTTGCATGATTTTTCTGCGTATTTATTTCCAATAGGTGAAACGTAAAACTTAAAAAAGGCAAAAATAATGTTTCATAAAATTCTCTGAACATAACTTTATAATAGTTTACAAGAATTTGTATTGGTTAACTTCAGTGATAAGTCATTTATACATTTAATAAAAAACCTAGGCCCTAAATTAGAACCTTACGGAACTCTTGAGGTGGCAACATAGTCATATTTACAGATGTAATCAGAGGGATCAAGTTGCTAAAAGAACCAATTGTTTCCAGTTTCGATAACAAAAGAAAGTGGTCTACACAGTCGATTGTCTTACGTATCTCGATATAGACTACATCTACCTGACCTTGTAGATCTAAAGAATTGGATATGCACTTCGTGATTTATTCCAAATTTGTCACAGTAGATAATTTTTCCACAAAGTTGTGTTGGAATTTGTCATAAACGGTAATTTGAAATTAATAAGTCAAAAATAGGTTTCTAGGTGAAAATTTGTTTCATATTTCTTATAATTTTTCAGTAAATCATGAGGATTTTCTTCACACATTGTTATAATGAAATAGTCTACCCACTACAACTACACAAAAGTACCCGAAAATCAAGTTTCTGGAATAATTAATATACTTTCACCAATTGAAAAATGTTGAGTCGATGTCTTTGACGTTAATAACGACAGCAATGTAAGAACACCTCCTTCTTCTACGTGAATACATATTTAATGTTCTGTTATTGCTCGAAATTTACAAGTCGGGAAAGTCAATATGTACATCGCAGCAAAGTCAACACACAACTGGGAATAAGGGTGAGTTCGTGTAGTGACATTTGTTGTATGTCTAAGATTACGAGCTAAGAAAATGTTTGTTACCAAATTTGAGTTAGTTAAAGTTTCAGTGTTTTTGTTCTGCTAATTGTGCTCTAATGAGGGTTAATATGTACGAAACTGTAGTCTGCAGCCAATAGAGTCATGTCGCCATATATTATGTGATATTATACGCAGATTAAAGATAAAAAATAATGCTGTTCCTCAAGGAAAACGATCCGGCAAAAATTTTAAAGAAATTCAAAGAAAATGAAAAAAAAATAAGAAATTTGTGAGGAAAATGTTATTATTTCACTTCTAATACTATGACCTTGAAATATATATGTGCATTTTTTAATATTTACTACTTTTTCTTAGGATAGTCTAATAAATGTATACTTTTTATTGACTTAGTATAAAAAATACACAAAATTACTGTTACATTACAATTTTAAAAGTCGTTTTTTTATGTTAAATTATTAAAATTGTTTTAAAATCCTGAAATCTTTGGTTAACATCGGTGTCAGTATTGTGTTTCAAATATCATATTAAACTGGGACAAATGTTGTAACTTTATTAATTAAATGATAATTGCTTAAAAAGAAAACTACATATTTTGATTTTTGGAAGAGTAAAGTATTTAGTTTATATTTTTATGCTTTCAAATTTCAAATTTTATTTTTATTCATTTATCATAGCAACAATTTAAAAATTGTTTTTATCACATTGAGACGGTATTACATCTTGATTTAAAAAAGTGACAAGCATATAGTTTCATTGTGGAAAATATTAAAGTGGGATCTACAAAGTAATAATATACTATCCCCTCCACCACACAAGTATTTGACTTTCAGGCTACTCGTTTGCATTTTGAATAAGGAGTGCACATATTTACTTTTATTATTAATTTATTTCGTCAAATCATCAAAGATTTCTTTCGATTCATTATAAGGACCGCGACTTGAAAACTTCATCAATTTTTTTTTACCTCGTCTTGCGAGCGGGATCTCTTCCACCAAGCCACCGATGGAGGTTGGACCTGGGGCTGCGAAGTTCCGAGAAACGCACACCGAGCTCAACCGCCACCGAAAAAAAAATTTACAATTGGACGACGTGTCTCATGTCAACGCGTCGAGACGTCTGGTGCAAAACGTACAGCGCGATAGGACGTTGATGACTGAGCGCCGCCTCTGGTACACATCGATTTTAAACGGGACGCGCCGCCAAGTCGAATCTCAGCGTCGCGGCGCCCGCGTCGCACGCGCCACGCTGTTGCGCCGGGCACTTAAGGTAACTGTCATTAAACCGAGGACGATTCGGAAGGACAAACCCGCTAATTTGATGTTTGGAGAGGGTGCGATGTGTCTTCGCGTTTTTTTGGTCTCGCTGAGCCAGCAGATTCACACTGCAGTCGCATTTCTCTCTTTGTCTTCGTTAAAGTACTGGGTGATAGGTATATGTTCATAAGTTTCCCTCAGTATTCATTCATCTTTGCTGCAGGTCTTCAAAAGTAAAGGTAATACTGTCATGTTCTACGCAAGATAACTTCAAGTCACCATGTCCCTTCAACTTTGAAACACTTCCTTCTGCATATACGAGCATTGTTGAGCATTGTTGAATGACTCGCATACTTCTGTGGATTGGCAACTCACGTATTTCGTTTGGTACTGCCCCTATCGGTTGAACAGAATACTTTCCATTACATTAGCTGTCAAGTACCTTTCCTGTCATCAATATTTTCGATGAAGCAGAATCTCAAGAAAACCAAGACACCTACAACTTCCAACCAGTTCGAATTTTGTTCAATCGTTGGCAACTGCCAAGGAAGCCTGCATTTGAGCAGTTTCATATCGTTGCGTTACTTGAGATCTATGTCACAGATTACAAACTCAGCCTTTATTAGCCGTCAACTGGAACTGGTGTATAGGATAACTTATTGCCAAACTTCAGTTGCAAGTTCGCATTTGCCTAAAGTCGATTCTTATTATTCATAATTCCACAGCTGTTCAAAGGTAATGACCGCCATAATAGTTTAATCTTATGAACGAATCCGCCATTGGGAGCTAATCTTGAGATTTCCGCACTCTTCGATTGGGCTTATTATATTACAAAGAGCCAATCAGACGTTGGTACGGTGACTTATCAACCAAATTCACACGACGATTTTTAAAGATTCTACTTCGTGACGATTGTTTTTTGAAACATTGAATAATAATTCCTCAAACATAATGAAGTGCATTTGGTTTTTGTTCTATAATAGGCTATTGAATGTATCCAAAAACAGGGTTAAAAGGACAATGACGTTCGAGCAATTTTATTGCATGAATCGTTCAAAGGGTCATTTTAGATGAAAAAACCGGGAAAAAATGGGAAATTCAATTCTCTAAATAATTTTTCCTATGAAGTATAGAGAAATTTTGCTTCTTTTTCGAGCTACAATTAAAAAACTGAAAGGGCTGCATTTTCACCCCTATCTCCAATTTCCACCCTCTAATTTAATAGTACTTCGCGTTTTTTTCATCTAAAATGACCATTTGAACGATTCATGTAATAAAATATCATAGTTCCTTTTAAAATTCTATATTCAATATTCCTAAACCCAATAATAATTTGTGGAGAAATTATCCCAATGGGTAACCTGTACACGAATTTTCTAAATATCCTTCCCTCTCCCAGAATTAATCTCAAAGAATTACGTCGCCACATCCAATTACCTTTTAGAACTGTGACATATATGGCTGAAAGGGTCCGCTTTAATAAAAAACTGAAACACCACCACTATCAGATATCCAATAAAGCAAATGCGTGGCTTCGCTGTCCCCAAATTAAGTTTTTATTACACTGACGTGTGTCTCTAGCGAAAGCCGTTGTTCTCTTTGATTTCAGCTTGTTGGACAGTGGATGGAGCCCCTGGATAGAGCGGCGTTATTTGAATAGTTCCAGGTTCTGTTTTTAAAACTACAGAGTGTCCTGTTTATTTCTAGACGTCAAAAGTACCTTTAAAATTTCGAACGAAAACTTTGTTAGTCTCGTAGCGTCATAGGTACTTGGTTTTCCATGGAATCAACGAAAGTTCCATAGAAAGTATGGGACGTACTATAACTTTGTGTCTTCTTTAGATGTTAATTGGCTTCAAGTTGGTTAAATTTCGTTAATCCATGCTATCACTTAATTGGACCCCTTGTACGTCTGCACAAAATAGGTAAAACACGAATAAAACACCAGCTTGGATTGGAGCGTGCCGATCGAGTCGAGCCCTCTCGTCATGCCCCTGTGATTTATCTGTTGCCGTGGATTAAAATAATATTATTTCAAGAGCGGTTATTCCGCTGTACCGAATTACTTATTCCTTTGAGAGAATATTTATTATTTATCTGTTCGTTGTGACAGCGGAATATCAAAACGAAATTGCTTTCCCGACTTTAATATCCCATAAAAATATGAGATTAAATAAAAAACAACTAGGAGAATAACTTTTTTTTAATGGGGATGCGGAAACAATATCCCCGCGATACGAAACTTAGCTCTTTGTTGTCTGATTGGCCGAGAGCGTTTAACTATTCAATGGCCTGAAAAGAGATGAGGACTTCTCGAAGAAGATTCAATTGAATCTAATCACAGACGTCATAATATTTTTAAAAAATGTGCAAGTTGCTTATTCTGGTCTTACCAGATATCAACTAATTAACTATAAACAAACAAAAACAACGAAGTGGCAAAAAAATCGCTACATTCCGATATTATCAGTAGCACACTCAGTAGGTGGAAGCCGTGGAATTTTAATTGCGAGGAAATCGAATCGCCCTGTAGGCGAAGCAGCTTAATTACCAGGAAAAATTAATGAAGGTCTATTATAACGGAGATGAAAACTCCAGCTAATGGGTTTTTAATGTAATATGTTTTCAGGATATAGCCTCGGAACGTTGTAATACAATAATTACTATTACGAGGTAATCGCCGTAAATATTCTAGCAATACGTACAGAAGTAAATTGAGAATGATTGCGGAGTATTATGCTCAGCGCTTTTAATTAACTTTTAGTTACGGTTAATCGATGTTCGGCAATTAAGGAAATATAATAGCTAGTTTGTGAGGCCGGCAACTTTAATGCCTGCTAATAAAATAAATAGTACCTATTCAGTGTTGTAAGTAGATATGTCACAACGGTGACAGTTAAGAAACAACTAATTTTAATGTGAGGAGTAGAGTAGATTCATGCATGATCAAAACAAAAAACTGCCAACACAACATCCACACTCTTAATATACGTTTGTTTTAGTCAATAAAAGAACAATACTAGAAGTTTATTGCGAGACTGCTCGTATTCCTTGTATATTTTAAAATTAAATTAGACATTCTGATACGCGGTAAACCGTAAAAAGCTTTCGGTTTAAATAACTCTGAAGAAATTATTCCACTTGTCATCTCTGTTAGATCTTATCTTCGCAGCCAACACAATCCTCTTAAATTTGACACTTCTTTAAATGTAACAGGATTTTTCCGTAGGCCATAGCGAACTTGTCAGTCAGCTGGGTACCGCGTTGAGATTTTAAATAAATTGGCGGGATTGTGAATTAAATAATGTGCCTTATTAAAAAAATATTGTGTCCATTTCATTCAGAGAGATCCATAATGATTGAAGTATTTGAAGATCGCAGCCTGTGCCTGTCTCTGTCAATACTACATAATTTTTATATGCTGAAGATGATGTTCGAAACAGGTTGCGTTCCCCAAACGCTTCAATTAGTTTGGATCTCTCGGTGTAACTTTGACATTTTAGATGACAAGTAAATTATATTTTCAAAATGTTTTGTTTAGTTTATTTTGTTCTTTTGTGGGCCTCATTTTTCTAATTAACAATAAGTCTATTGGTCCTTTGAGTTTCTGGCCCTTTATCTTCCTTGTGATACGTTCATATTTACCCTAAACACTACGAACATTGTTTCTCGAATGGTAAGAATAACGTAACGTTGAATGATTGATGTATTTGTGTCGATTTGTTATTGTCACGGACGGCGTTTCTTCTGGGGAGTGAAAATGCCGATTAGGCAAACAATGTCATCATGCAATCATTTTTCTACAAAGATTTTGGTTAAAAAACGAATGTAGCAAGTCCGAAATAAAGTCGAATTCACATACCAACCTAATTTGTTATTAAATTGTTGCTTTGAATGGCGTGAAAAAGTGAGACTATTCGTACGTCTCGAAACATCATCTATTTTGAACTTAACTTTAAATCTGTGGGTAGCGAAAGCAAAATTAAAGAGCGTTTCAACGGAGAACCAAGAAAAATTCTTCCGCTTAGATTTAGCTCGGCAATTTCAATAACCGCGCCGCCCCCTCGAACCCCATTCGCGATCAGTCTGTGAGAGTGGTAAATTTCTTAGAGCGTCGTAATGGATTCGAAGTGATGTAAGCTTATCTAACGAAAACAGCCAGCATATAATAAACAGCGACCGCTCGCCTCCACCAGCACCAGCTCCATTAATATCAATATGTCTTTTCGACTCACGGCGATGCTTATCTTGAAAAATATGTCCAGGCCGGAAAATAATTGCCAAGACGGCGGGTTCGCGGATTAGGAAAGAAAAACGAATTTGAATTGGACTTTAATTTACTCATGTATAGTATTTATCCGTAAAGTTACTTATACGAATTTTCTAAATCATAATTTATATAATTTACATACATAAAAGGTCCAACAACGCTCCCCTGCGGTACCCCGTATACACTTGAGATTTTATTAGATATATTCTGATTCACGCGCCAAATCTGTAACTAAATCCCAGCGTTTGTGGGAGCTTTACCGCCTTCCTTTAACTCTCTCTTTCGGACGGAGGACCACGCGCCCCTCACGGATGCATTTTGATATGGTAATTCTTGCCCGGAGCATTCTTTGTGACTCCGGAATTAGCCGGAGCACTCTGAAATTTGAATAAACGTCGAGAGGCAGTTGTCTCGGCGTTTTATGCCTGAATATATTTCGAAATTTATAGTTTACCTTGTAAATTGACGGGCGGAGGAAAACCAGCCAGAACAGCTCTTCGGTTTGCGTATAATTAGGTGCTCTCCGGCTGTACCTGAGCAATAACACTAAAACGTT